TATAACCCATTTTCACAGCAGATCTTGTGTCAGTATATATAATGGGTTGTGTGAAATATGAAGAGAATCAGATGTATATTTCGGATTTTATAATCGCATTGGTTATTCAAAACTTAGACCCTTTGTGGGGTAAGTACCAAAAGGAATGGTCCAATATCTACCATCTTTATAACAGATCTGGTGTTGATAGAAATATTCTGATGTGCCAATTCTGAATAAAATCGAATGTTAATTTCGCGTTTTATGAGCCTCATGGATATGCAAAATTTTGACCCTTTGTGGGGACGTACCAGAAGGAGTGGACCGATATATTTCATCGTAACACCAGACCTTGAGTTAATAAAAATATTTTATAAGAGTTAAGAGTTATATTTATTTATTTATTTTATATTTATACAAAATTTTGACCCTTTGTGGGAGAGGTACTTGATGGAGTGAACCGATATGGTCAATTTTCACACTGATGCAAATATTAGGATCTGCAAAGTTGGAGCCATTCCACAAAGACCTAAAATGGTAAAGACTAGACAAAATGCATTTTGAGCAAATGGTTTGTGGCTATACTACCTTGAATAACAGCTCATGACAGAGGCATGTTAATATAAAAAACACAATTATAGGAAAGAATGACAAATAAAAGTTTGGATAATCCAAAATATTGGTTTCAAAATTCTATTCCATATACCTTCCCAAATAATTGCATATGGCCTTAGCGGTTGAAATTGCTTAACATTGGTAACTATGTTGTTACGATATCATAACAACAGAGGTATTTTCCACAGGGTTGCCATATTTTACTCTGTCTTGTCCTATCTTTACACTTCTATGTCTTTGCATTCCATTTCCATTCTCTTTCAATGCAGTAAAATATTTTTTTGAAAATATCGACCCTTTGTGGGAGAGGTATCACAAGGAGTGGACCGATATTGCCCATCTCCGAACTCGGTCTAAGTTTGAGAATAATATTACATGGTACCAGTAGTGCGATTCTCTAACTCATTTTTCGAGTTACCGACAAAAATCGGTAAAATTAAAATGCTTATAATTTCGGTAATTAACGAAATTTGTTGGTAAGTTAGCGACGAAATTAAAGTAGTCGGTAAGGCCTACTGATAGATACCAATGTTTTCAACTTTTATTTCTTTTTTATATCAAATTTTGCGTTTGAAAGTTACCGATTTTTGTCGGTAACTCAAAAAATGAGTTAGAGAATCGCACTACAGGTTTCTATACAGTCAAATTTGAAAAGGACGGAAAAGGCAAAGATGGATATGCTTGTTTGAAATGACTTTTCGTTCTGAATTCTACCATGGTTATAAGAGGACTAAACCAAAAAATGGACTTTTATTAAATATTTTTTTCGAGGAGCAAAAATACTGAGAACCCCAATTGGTAAATTCCATTCAATGAAAAACAATTGGCCTTCTGTATTCGAAATTATCGATATTAATAATGCATTTGCAAAAGCTAAAAGAAGTCAATGTTTTTTTTTTTTTTTTTTTTGTGTTTCAAAATTGAATTATTTAAAAACAATATTAATAGCCTGTCATGATTTAAGCTAGCAAAATCAATATCATTAACCTCTTGGAAATGATGCTGAAAAATAAACACTTGAGCCGAACACTGCTTGCCGGCTGCCCGCATACGAGCGACTCAAGTGATTGTTGATCTCACTTCCTTCCTTGGTTTGTTTTTGTTTTGAATTGGAGTTCACTTAACCAAAAAAAGACGAAGAAATATAAGAAACGGAAGTTTACCGAAGATACGATAAGGAAAATATGGACTTTTATCAGCAGTATACTCGCTCTTACCACCACCGCCAACACCACCAACCAACATGCTCTGGTTGATTGAACTTTGATCACATGCGAGGGTTGTTTCATAAGATACATATGCAACAAATAGTTATTTCAGATTTTTTTTCTAATTTCTTGCTAATTGAAGCGTTCCTAATTTTTGTAACAAATAGTTTTAAATATTTTGAGCTTACTGTTAAAAAAGGGATAAAATCCTATCTTATGTTTCTTTGTAAGAAAATTCACAGAATAATTCCATCCGATTTATTTACACTTTTTATCCAAAAATTATTGACATACTTTCAAATAATTTTGCTACGCCAAAACCAAATGCTGGGGAAGTACTCGTACCAACACCATCAAAAAATATCAACTACGAAATTGAAATTAGCATTAATTTATTATACAAAATAAAAGATAACAGCAATTACTAAGAAATCCAAAAGATGAAAACAAAGAACTCAGACGATATCGAATTGTTGAATTTCAAAACAAAAAACTGGTTTCTTAAGAACGTTATCGATCAATCAAGTAGTATATGGAAACAAAAAAAAAAAAAAAAACAAATAAGAAATGGCAATAGTCAGCGGCAAAGATGTTAAGATACCGCACCGTATTCACACTATAAAATTTTTAATATATTTATTTTGTTATTTTGTAAGTAGCCCCCCGAAATAGGCCTTTTTATTTTGATCTCTAACAGTTACTGTCGGAAATCCTAAAAACTTTCAGACAGACCCATTATATGGGAATTTTGTTGAAACCCCTACAAAGGGCCAAAAAGGACACACATATTTGAGGTTCCACCAAATATAGCGGATCTATATAGAAAAATTTATTTTCTGCGAAACTGACTTGTCAAATTAGAGCTTATCATCGATATCTTTAAAATACCTAAATTCAAGAGGTATGGAAAACATTTGCCAAAATCATTGAACCTTTATGGTGAAAATCTATGCCACTGGGAACCGTAACTGTTACAAAGCAACTGATTCGGTTAAGAAATAAGTAAGAAAATGAGGAGAGCACCTTGAAAACACCATTATTTAGTGTAAATAATTATTAGGTTGGAGTAAGAAATCTCGCTCGATTTTGTACAAAGAGTGAAACTCACTCGAATTCGAGCGAGTGCACTACTGGGAGATGAAAAAAGTCGAGCAGACTCAATTGTTCAATATCGTTTGAAGATGAGTGAGCATATTTTCCTCACTTTTAAGTGGGAGCAAAATTCGAGCAAATTCTGCTCTTGCCGACCACTGGTTTAGTTTTTATCGTACCTTTGTTGTTTTTATACCCTCCACTATACATAGTATGGAGAGTATATTAATTTCATAATTCCGTTCGTAACCCATCGTAATAATTATTTTAGACCTAACAAAGTATATATATTCTTGATCAGCGTCAAATTCTTCCTTCCATCCGCCCGTCTGTTGTAATCACGCTGGAGTCAAGACGAATTAAGATAGGAAGCTAAAATTTTGCACAGAGTCAAGTTCGAGCAAGTCAAGTTCGAATATGAGCTATATCGGTGCATGATATCATATAGCCTCCCTATAGCGGTGCAATTGCATATACAAATTCACGTCTTCGTATAGCCCCATATAACGGGACCTCCCAATATTCGTTATTTAGATTATTTTAGTTATGTTTTTCAACAGAATTATGTTAAATATGCAGGGCCGGATCGGACTTAGCTGCATTTTTTCAGAGGTATGTATTTTTACCCTGATTCCGAGAAAGAATTTTTGCCTATCCAACAAGTGGGCACATGATTTGGTTATTTATATTATTTTTTGGACCCGTATTTTTTATAAAACCCTCCAAAAATCGAAAAAGGGTCCATTGTGGGGGATCTCTGACCTTTCCAAAATGCTACAATTTGTGCCAATACCCTTTTCGGTTAGCTGTATAACTAAAACTAGATTTTTGTTAAATTCGGTTGGTCAAAATTATTGTTCAACAGCTGTCAATATAAGTAGCCGGCCTTCAGACGGGGCTTGAGATTTTCTCCTCTCCTCCACACCGGCTAGCGCGAACCAAATTTGATACTTTTGGAAGTCCAACGCCGGCTACACGAAACATTTTTTTATTGAAAACATAATAATAAGAAGCGGGTTATGCGGGTGGAAAGGTCCATATTTCAGAACCCAGAACAGGTATTAGCACAAATTGTAGCATTTTGGAAAGGCAGGAATGTCAGATATAATTTGGCGTCAATTTTGTTGATCCCCATAATCAGCCTTTTTTTTACTTTTTGGGGCATTTATAAAAGTTCCGGGTCCAACAAATCGCTAATTTTACTATAACTTCCGAACTGATTCAAATACCCATCATGTAAACATTTGTTTCCGACGATACCTATGTTATCTATATCGGGTAAGTTAATTCGGATTTAGCACGGGTCTTGAACCCGGACTTTCGGTTTAAAAAATTGGGGTCCCGAGTCCGTTTCCCAAGATAGTCTCCCGGAATCAGGGTAAAAATTCCTACCACTGGAAAAAAATTCAAAAATTGAAAAGTTTTTACTAAACTAGAGTTAAGCCCAATTCTATAGTTCGTTTCGATCATCACTCGCCGTGGTAAAAATGTTGATATTTAATCAAGACATTATTCCTTTTATCCTAGACCTGTTGTCCCAGTGATAAATTCTAGCTATCCTCCCAACATATTTCTGTAAGTGTAATTATGTTAAATTGGAATTTCTTTTACGAAGCTTCTTCTTCTTCTTTTTCTCGATTGTAGGTACTCCTCTATTCACTTCATTGGTTTTGCTTGCATGTCGTTTGCCTCTAAAAATAAAATAACAGACCGGTCGATTGATCGTTCGTTCGAACGGCCGCCCGTCTGTCAGATGATCAGCCACCTAACTGCATGCCGTACTTTCTAGTTTCAGGTATAGTTTTTTAAATGTCGATTTTTTTAAGAAATAGAAAAAAAAATAGAAAAAAAAAACTTTAATGCGCACGACTGGAGATGAGAAACAGAATTCGAGAACAAATTATTGAGATTTTTTACAATAAACAATTGTTGTTGCTGTTTTGCCATGAAGCTGGTGATGATGATGATGATGCAAACGACATTTTTAAGGTGTGTTGCTGCCGCTTAGAAAGATGATATACAAAATGTGGCGAGATAAGCCAGCAATCCTTTGCTTCAGGTAGGTAACCTAACACAAAAACCAAACGATAATTGTTCTTCACTTACTTTTAAAGGTGAATTGGGTATTTTTTTTTATTCGTCAGCAGAATATATTTCAGTTTTGCGTTGTTTTCAAGCCTTCTGGTATTTTTGCCAAAATTGGAGATTTCAGCTTTCCTTTTATTGTTCGTTTGCTAGTTTATCTTGCCGGATTGATCTTGACCAAAAAACGAAAAAAATCATATGATTTTGACAAAACCACAATTAACTATTTTTGTTTTTTTTTTTTTTATTTTTTCGGTAAATTAATTATTTTTATTTCTTGCTTTTTTTAATTTATTTTTCAACTGTTTCTTGGCGATCTACACACACTTTTTATTAACACCACGAACACGACGAACAATGGCTAATGAACGGGCGAAAACAAAGAAACATGAACGAGAAGAGAGTTTAGATCAATCGATCGATTCACTTGAATAGACAGTCAAACTGATTGACTGACTGATTGAATACGTTTCCACCACCACAACACTCAACGAAGCACGGCTCAATAAAAACTGAGAAGTCAAGAGAAAATCCACAATGCAGCTTGCGTTAAAAACAAATCATAAAATGTTTAATTTAACGGCGTCATATTTACGTTAGTGGCGGCTAAACCCAGTCTCAACCTGTTGAATGTATTAGTCCACCCATAAAATATCAAAAACAAAAAGACGACGAAGAAAAAACAAAACTAACTCCGCTCAATGTTGCATTAACACTGACTGACGATGATGACGAACGAACAGCTGCTAACTGGAGACTAAACAAAAGCCAAGCTTTAAAATTCACAAGAAAACGATCAACAAAAACAACAGCAACTTGCATTGAGAAACCCCGTCGGCACACTCATTCATTGCACACGCAAACACTTACACCCAAAGAGAAACTTAGAAAGATCCAACAAAGTGAGAGAGAGAGGGAAATACTCAATAAAAAAAAAACTTGATTGTCAAGCTTTGCTTGACGCGACCAACGGCATACACTGTGTAGATCGTTCGTAATGGCTGTGATATTGGTTGACTGGCACCGATCTCGCCAATCCACCACACAACAACAACAAACAATACACATTTCAACGAGACGACATTTAGCGGCACTAGCAGCATTTACGACGATCAAAAAAGACGTAATAACAACAATAGTAATAGCAGCACCAGCAAAATGTGCGAAATTTAAACCAAGTCGAGCTTTAAGAGGTCAGGCGTATAGTACATTTTAGTGGGTGGAAATTAGAAATCCGACAAGAAACATCTGATACCATATCGGCGTGACCCGAAACTTCGACATTCCAGTTTTGACAATCCTAAAATCATGGCAGAATTTAAAAGGTAATCTCATGAGTGAAATCGGAAAGTGAAAAGGAGGGTTCCGTTTGTAACACCTCTAAATATTCGTCGTAGACCCCATAAATTATGCATATTGATAATCGGCACAAAATTTCTAAATATATTTAGCAGTTTACCCCACATAACGGTACCTTCATATGTTCGGTATTTTTATGCTTTTAGTCACATTTTCCCACCGATTTGTCTAAAAATTGGCATTTGTGATTCGTAATGGGTTCTCTGGTGGCGGGGCATTGTATATAATGTGGCACACGATTGAATTTAAATACTTTTACATAAAAGTGTTTTCCCTAGCTAATTGTGGAGGGTATTTAAAGTTCGACACGGCCGAACTCCTTTATTTCTAATTGTTTATATTGGGACTCATCATATATTTTAAATTAAAAAATATTTCTAAAATTATTGCTTAAACTATTTACCCAAAAACGGCATGTTTTTTACTGGTTCAAAATGCATTGGTCAATTTCCTCTACCTTAACATTCCTATGTCAAGTCTGTAAATTTCTTATTCTTCAGAAAATTTACTTTTAAAGTTGGATACAAACACAAGTTTAAAATCATAACTAACCAAATTGCCAATGAGGCAATAACTCAAAAGAATTCCAGAAGTTATAAGAAAGACGTATGTGGAAACTTTGAAGTAAAATCATTCCAGTTATCCAAATTTTAAACCCTATCTCGCAAGAAACCAAAAAGATTCAATATTATTGCTGAATCCATAATAAAAGTGTTCATATCCCAATGCCAAACTCGTATTAAAGTATTAATAATTAATATTTTGTATGCATTCCTTCATTTTTTTTTACATTTGTAGCCTATTTGGTATACTTATAACACGTTTTTCGCAAAAGCTAGGTTCAATTTTTGCAATTCTTCCAACATGGCTTTCTTCAAATCTTCTTTGCAAGATTTGGTATGCTGGTCCATCGAGATAGAGATATTAGTATGGGGGTTATGTCTGGACTCTGGGCTGATGTATCCATGACGTGGGGACAATTATATAGCAGCCATGACCGGCCTTTATAAGCCTCGTGTTTCGAATCATTGTCTTGATAAAAATAATAATCTACGCCAAGGCTGAACTTTCACTTACACCAAGTCCATGAACCCCATACCATTACTGACCCAACACCGTGCTTCACTGTAGGCTTTATGTTTTTGGCTAGGTGCACTTCATTTGCCTTTCTCCATACATAAGGTTTGGAATCTGAACCAAAAAGGTTAAATTTGCTGATTAGAGGTTAATGTCTAGCTCTCCTTCCATTTAATTCGACTTATGCAGTATATTTCTTAATGTTTGAGGGTAACATAGTTTTCTCAAATCCATTTCAGCAATTTTTGCGAGATTTAGTGCACTCAAAAATGGATCCTTTTTGATCTGCCGTAAAATATACTTCTCATCACTCAAGGTAAATATTTTATTATTTGACGTTTTTGACTAATTTTCGACACATTCATCTGTTTTAAACCGTTTGATGAACTGTGTACTGATCGGCTTCTATTAACAATCTCAGATATCTCACTTAGCGATTTATGGTTTTTGTAATGTTTACTTACTAAATTTCTCACTTCAACAGTGGTTCGTCCTCCCAAAGTTTTTTTTTTCTTTTTTTAATATTTGCGTCAGTAAATGGCACAACACGTGGAAATTTGTGATAAATTAGCTTTTAGAGACTTCCCCAAATACATTTTCCAATAATTGCGTGAAGTTGGACGCAGTTCAAAACAGGGTTGCCGTATAAATGTAAGCTGTACGAGTGAGTTTAGCTTTTACATAGAAATTTGGTGAGTTTTAGAATAAATTTCATTATTTTGCTAAATAAAAAAACAGTAAACTTTTGTCCTACGGCTAGTTCTAGTACCCTATAAACTAATAAAAAATATAGGTTTCTTCTGGTAGTGAATTGGATAATAATCACATATTGTGAGTGAGTTTAGCTTTTACATAGAAATTTGGTGAGTTTTAGAATATATGCCATTAAAACGTAAACTTTGGTTCTATAGCTAGTTCTAAAACCTTATACACTAATAAAAAATATAGATTTTTTCTAGTAGTGAATTTGATAACAATCGTCTATTGCATGAAAGAAAATTGTTTGCTAACTGTACGAGTTTCGCTTGGAGCTTCTGTAGTTACATATTTTATGCAACTCTTCTCGTCAAAGTCGTCATCTAACACGAATCCTTGGTTCTGTGTGTTCCTTCTTTTAAGTATCCACCGAAATTGCATGCAATAATATTCTAAAAATTGTTAATTCTGGTACCGTGAGATGTTGGAGCCTTTTTTTGACAACATTCTGGCTTGTTTTATGAGTGTTAGGAGCGTATTATAGCTTGTATTCCACAACTAAGATGCCGTTCTAACCTCTTCTTCTCATCATTACTTTTATTTTGGCACATAAAACACTTTATGCAACCAATTATATGTTTTTATTTGTGATTTTGGATTACGTAATTGTCAAATGGCAATTAACATCAAAATTTTGTAATTATTATTAACTGCGAGGCACACTTTCGGGAAACCCAAAAGTAAACAAAAGACAGATATGAGTCAGTTTTGAACATCAAATTAATGCCACAGGTTCGGATAACGTGATCAGCCTATGGTCAGTGTGTCTATGAAGAATTAAATTTTAAATAGATTTTCATCCATAATTTTAAAAAGTGCAATGTTTTGTGCTTTGCTGAATGGAGTAAATAAAAAGGTTTGGCAAGAACGGATACAATTCCAAGCAAAATTTTTATGACATTTCTACATCCAGAACATTAAATACTTTTCCACAAGAAGAGCGGCTTTCTTCTACAGGAACCACAGTCCCAACAAATTACACACTCAAATACAATCTTCTATGTTACTCAATCTCAGTGTGGCACTCATTTAACACAAAGAAAACTTCGCACTCTCTCTCTCTATCGTTTTAATGTTCTCACTTACTCTTTTGATTTGTTGTTTTAATGACGACTGGTGTAATTTGTATCGGTTGCTTTGTTAACCACCACAGACGACTGACTGCCTTGATAGATGAGGCCTTTGTCTGCCGTTTTTTTCTTGTTGTTGGTGGGGAGATGGAAATTTTGATAATTTTGTTAATTTTATGAATGTAATTTTTGCTTTTCTCTAAACTGTTTCACAATCAAATTTTTGTTTCAAATAAATTTAGTTTCAATGTCTTTTTGCACTCGTTATTCTTTGCTGAAATTTTCTTGTTTGGATTTTTTTGGAGAAGAAAAACCAGTTATCTTTTGTATTTCTTCTTGAACCTTTTTTTCCTCTTCTTCTTTAATTGTTGTAATTGTAATGGTCTTTGCACTTTTTTCAATTCGATTCATGAATCACAGAAAAAATAAAAACACCAACAACGCATAACGAGAAATATCACGATAGGTAGCAACGGCAACAACACCAACAATGAGACAGAAAAACCGAAAAAACCTTTATAACTAGTGGTTTTCTATGGAGGTTTTGGGTCTCTTTTTTTCTTTCTATGCGCGAACCAGACTCAAAGCAAAGCTGAATGAATGATCACCGCTACCGTCCAAAACGAGACTAAATTGTGTTGGGTCTTTGGAGTTTTCAGTTTCTGTGGCCTTTTTGTGTTGTTCATGAAAACTGATGATGCTGCCGCTGGCGCTGCCATCGTGTCGGCAATGCTGTACTCTCCTCTGCCAGGTTGAAACTAGTAACGTCGCCTAGATATTTGGGTTTTTTCACTATGTTATTGGAGGAGGGGTGATATTATCATTTTAGGGGGAGGCAGACAAACGTATCTAGTTAACTAATAAACTAGAGAATGAGAGCCACTCGTAGAGTGTATGTTGGTCAAGAAAAGCAGCGAGAAGAAGGCAGCTGCTATTCAGTAGCTCAAGCTGCAAGAAAAAAGATTTAAGTGTCATGCTATATTTAAAGTTTTTTTTTTTTAACTTTTGAACAACAAACTAGGATTAGAATTTGGGTTGTTCTAATCCAGAAAATGTTAGGCTTAAAGACAACTTCCGCCAATATTGCAACCTACCTCGAATCGTTGTTCCGACCCAGCAATATAAGCCAAAGTCTTATTTTCCACCATTGAAAAAATCTTTTATATTTCTTATTCTCTTTCTCTTTACAGTTAATAAGGTGTGCATACATACATACATTATCGTATATGGTTGCCAAGTATTTCATCCATCATTCCCAAACCAAACCTGGGTACCATGCC